GTACTCCTTGAGGTTCCTCCTCGTCCCTCCTTGTCCCTCGGTCCTTCCTCGCCCCCTCCCTCCCCCCTTATGTCCCTAGTCCTTCCTCACCCCTTCCAGGTTCCTCTCAGTCCCGACTAGATATCATTAGGTCCTTTCCCGAACAACGAGGTCCCTTTTAGTCCCTATGAGATGTCTCCAGATGTCTCCTCTTCAGTCGTTCGTCGTTGCCCTCAGGTCCTTCTTCTGCCTCGTCCCTCCCACGCCTTCGTCAGTCCCTCAAGACGCCCTCTTCAGGTCCCTCCTCGCATTCTTCAGGTCTTTCTCAGTCCCTACTAGAATCCTGCAGGTCCTTTCCCACCCTTTCCAGGTCCTTCTCTGGTCCTATCAGATTTTTTTTTTCTTTCAATTTATCCACTATTCTTCCTCCCACTTCTTCCTCGTGGTTCCTTCCTCCATCTCCGTCCCTCTTCCCCGGTTTCTTTCCTCTTCCTCCTGCTTCTCCATCATCGTCGCATCTTTCTTTCGCCTCTTTATCTTCATCCTCCTCGACGTCTTCGTACACCTGTTTCTTTGTCTCCGTTTTCTTTCTCTTCTTCTTCTACTCTCTATCCCCTCTTTGTTATTTTTTCATCTGTTTCTTCTTTTATTCGTTTCTTCCTCCTACTGCTTCTTTCTCCTTCCTCTTGACCTTCCCTTCCCCTCCCTTCTTATGTTCGGTTTCTATCTCTTCTTTCTTTGTTTCTCCTCATCCCCTTCTTCACTTTTCTTCGTTTTTTCCCTTATTATTTCTTGCCACATTCCCCCCCTTCCGCCTTATTTCCTTCTTTCTGATTCTTTTTTCTTCGCCTCCATCGTCTTTGTCCTTTTTTTTCTTCTTTCCTTCTCTCTCTTTTTTTTATTTCTTTATTGGCTTGCTAATTCTCTCCTCCCACTGTCTTCTTCCTCTTTCTGACCTCGTCCTCACTTCCTCATTTTTTTTTTATTCTTCCTCTTCTTCCTTTGTTCTCTTTTCTCTCCTTCCCCCTCTTATTTATGTTTTTTCCCCTCTTAACTCCTTACTTATCTTTTTTCTGCTTCTATTTTATTATTTTCCCCCTTTCTTCTTATTCGTCTTTTTATATCCCTTCTTCCCTTCCATCTTATTTTCTTTCTTATTTTCCCTTTCTTTTTCTATTTTCCTCTTCCCCTTTGTCTGTATCTTTTTCCCTTCCCTATCCCTTTTTCTTGCCACCTCCTTTATTCTCCTTTTGATTTTGTATTTTCATTTCTTTTTCTTTTATTTTATTTTTCTTCCTTTCTCCTACTTATTCTTCAAATTTTCTTCCTTCGCCAATGTCATCATTATCATTATTATTGTTATCTTCATCTTTATTATCGTTATTATTATTATTGCTATTATTATTGTTATTCTGATGATTATTATTATCATTGTTATCGTTATTATTATTATTATTATTATTATTATTATTATTATTATTATTATTATTATTATTATTATTATTATTATCATTATTATTGTTATTGTTATTATTATCATTATTATTATTATTATTATTATCATCATCATTATTATTATTATTATTATTATTATCATTATCATCATTATCATTATTATTATCATTTTCATTTTTTATTATGATTTTTATTATCATTACTTTTATTGTTGTTGCTGTCGTTGCTGTTAGTATTGTTGTTATTATTACTATTATCATAATTATTATTACTTATTAATTATTATAATCATAATCCCTATTATCAGGATTTTGATTAATGTTATCATTATTATAATTATTATTATTATCATTATTATTATTATTATTATTATTATTATTATTATTATTATCATCATCATCATTATTATTATTATTACTATTATTGTTATCATCACCATTACTATTTTTATAGTTATTATTATTATCATCATCATTATTAATATTATGATTATTATCATTACCCTCATTGTCATTATTATTACTACTATCGCTATTGTCAATAACATCATCATCATCATTATCATTATTATCATTATCATCATTATTGTTATTATTATCATTATCATCATTATTATTATGATCATTAATATGGTTATCATTATTCGCATCATTATCATTATTACTATGATAATGATGATAATAATTGTAATAACAATAATAATAATTAGTAGTAGTAGTAATAGTGGTATTGTTAATGTTATTATTATCATTATTATCATTATTATTATTATTATTATTATTATTATTATCATCATCTTTATCAATATCATTACTATACTTATCATTGTCATTATCATTATTACCATCGTTATTATTAATATCATTATTGCTATTACCATTATCATTGCTATTATCATTATAATCATTATCATTATAATTATTATCATTATCATTATCATTATTATTATTATTATTATTATAATCAGTATTAGTATTAGTATCATTATTATTATTATTATTATTATCATTATTATTATTATTATCATTATTATCATTGTTATTATTATTATTATCATTATTATTAT